TTATTGTTTTTTAAACTTCCCAATGTTTTCTTAACCAGCTCAGAATTAATGCAATCATTTTGTTTCATATAATTTCCATTTATTAACTGTTCAAGGTGTGGAATACTGCTTAAATATTCTTTAGTAAAAACCAAAGAAAAAGCAAAATTTAATAACCTAGCCATCTCTTAATTCATCAGCTACAAGCCTTCCCATAACATCCCTCAAGGGTCCTACCACCATCCTAACATTTTGTTTACCCTTAATGTACTTAAATAAATCCTTACTGTTAATTTTTACATTTTCAGCCAACCTTTTCTCATACATCCATTTTGATGTCCTGAGTTCCAACTTTCTTGATCTTCTATAATTTTCTAAATCACCTGTCATACCAGTCAATTTAAATTTCTTAAATTTATTATGCATTTCTTTAACTTTCTCTCTTAAATTCTTTGTGAGCCAACCTGGTTTTTTACTTGCAGCTACCCTTTTCTTTCTATAAGGAATATGTATATCTTGAGTATTTAAAAATTTATCTTAATTTTTTCACATCTGATCAGTGTCTCCAAATAACTCAGCTGCCCAATTCAGATAATTCTTGTCACATCCCTTCAAAATTTGGTTTTTTGAAATTTGTAACCGAAATATCATTATTCCTTATCTCTATATACAGCAAAACATCAAACTTAATAGAGCAATGACCACTTGCATCCAGATATTCCTCAATTTCTACCCTCTCAATCATTTCTATATTTGAAGTTAACAATAAATCTAAAATAGCATTGTTTCTAGTAGGTTCCTTGACTGATTGGTGAAGAAAGCCATCTTGAACAGTTTCGAAAAACCTTTCTCCCTCATTTCCCAATCTACATGCCTGAAATTAAAATCACCCATAATTATTACAGCTGAAATCTTAATCTCACAGTACATTTTCTCATTAATTTCATCAGTATCACCCACTAAAAGCCTTTATATCTGCTAATAGAAACCCACATGGATTCAATCTCCTTGCTATTATCTTTGATCTCTTCAACTTCAATGGGATGTAACTCACATTTTACATATAAAGCTCCTCCTCCTCCCCTTCTTTAATACACTATCCCTATTAAATAGCCTGTAATCCTGTATTTCAGAGAAATTTCTGTCATCAAAATCATCTATGTTTAACCATGTTTCAGTTATTCCCATTATATCAAAATCCTCCATTCCTACCAGTGCTCTAAAGTCATCTATTTTATTTCTTATACTTATTACATTACAATAGTAACAATTAAGACTAGCCTAATAACTACTTCTATACTTATTTCCTATGCTAAACGTTTCTCTGCCTCTTATTCTTTTTACATTTAGTTTTTCCTAGCCCTCACCACTGTCTACTCCTAGTTTAAAACTTTTCTTACAGCTGAATTAATAGCCTTAGCAAACAAGCCAGTCCCTACCCTATTTAAATGTAAACCATCCATTCCAAAAAGCTCCCTTCTTCCACTGAACTGATCCCACAAGTCCAATCAGCCAATTTGCTCATCCTTACATACTAACCCAAGCCTATCATTTAACCCCAGTGACCTACTTATAACTTCATTCCCACAGTTAATTCTGGGCAGTATCCCTGACAAAAATGAATTATGGCCTTTTCTTTAAATACCTTTATCAACCCCTTGTAATTAGCTCCTCTGATCTACCTTTCCCTACATCATTAGCCCATACATGCACCACAAAAACTGCAACTCTGACAGCCTCCTTTATTATATCTCTTGCTTTGTCAGTTATATCCTCCACCCGTCCCCCTGGGTAGCATAATCTGATTATTTATTCCCTATTTACACTACAGACTATTCTATCCACATGCCTTGTCAAGAAATCACCAATAACTATAACCTTTTTATCATCCACATCCTTCTCTGACCCTTTTGTTTTCCTTCCCTCCAATAGTTCCTTATTTACAGAAGCCAAGGGCTGAAATTTGGTGCTCAACAGAATAGGCTCATTATAACTAAATTCACTACTTTTATACCTAATAGTATTCTTTCTAACTTCCTGAAACTCATTGTTAGCTGATGTATTCCTTGCATATAAAGCTCAAGCTCCTCCTCAAATCCTGCTGCCATTTCCCACAGTCTACACTTCTCTTTATCTATCACCTCTACTTTAATTATGATGGCCTCCAACTTCTCCTCCAACCTACGAACTCAACATAAAAATTGCACATCTTCATTACTAGCTTCCTTAAAAGTACATGCCAGTCCTGAGTTCCCAAATAAAACCCACTTATTGCACCCATTACACCTAACAAACTGTGAACGCTTAACTCCTACGATAATTGTGGTGATATCTATGAAATGCAATATATATAATACAAACGAAATGGGAAATAAATAAAACAGAGAAAGTGCAATTTTTCATGACCAAACGTAATGTTAAGGTACACTTTATGCTAATTGTTTCACTCAAATTTTTATTCAAGTGTTAAAGGTTTACCTATTTTCATTCTATTTTATTATCCCACTTTTTTAACTTTTACTTATTTGTTTAATTTTTAGACACTGCTCGTCAGTATAGTCTATGATAAGTGCGATGAGATCAAGGTTTGTTTGTAGTTAAGCACAAAGCTACACAAAGGGCTATCTGTGCTCTGCCCACCACGGGTATCGAAACCCGGTTTCTAGCATTGTAAGTCCACGGACATACCACTGTGCCACTGGGGGGCAAATACAAAAAAAATGAAATGAAAAATAAAATAGAGAAAGCGTCATTTGTGTGACTGATGCCATTTTTATTTTTTCAATCTATCATTCATTTAGATATTAAGAGTTCTCTTCTTTTTAATTTTATTATAATATCCTATTTTTTAAATTTTTCGTCTTTGGATACCGCAAATAAAGTCTACGTTGAAAATTACATAAACACATTGCTACTAATACTAATAGTAATGACTAACCGCAACTACCTAAACATTCACAGTAGTTTTCATGCCATTCCTTCAATTTTCCTTATTCTATCACTTTCACGCACGGCATTTGACCTATGTTTCTTGCAAGCATTATGTGTTAGAGCGATATATACTGGTCTATTTGGGAAAAATAATACACGATAAGACAAACAAATTCATGTAGGCGTAACTTTATTCAAAGCATACATTAACTTTCATTTGATGGGATATAACAACTTTTATAATTGTTTTTTTTCCTTCTATAATTCCTTACGTATTGGGTGGTTGATTTCAATACTAGAAGTAAATTTTTATTTTCAAGTAGATCTTTGGAATTCAGAGCTTCTTTATTATACAATCGACAATTGTACCGTGGGTACCTGGTGAAACTCCATAATTACAAAATTAAGAAAAAACAAGACATCATTACGTTTAACAAATATATAATTTATTCACAACAATGATTTCGCCACTAAAGACATTTCAGGAACAGACTGAAATATTTTGTAAC